CTCGCAAATGTGAAAGGTTTGGAGTATAAGGTCAAAATGCCTCGACCTTTAATCGATTATTGTCCCAACCTATCCTCGTGCTAATGCCTTGTTTGTTTTTCTTTTTTCAGATGATATGACATTCGATCCTCGGGCTCTTCGACTGGCGGCGAGCCAAAAATTGAAGGCTCCTCAAGTTCGAGGCCAAGGTCAAAGGAAGGGGAAGAAGAGACCCCGAGGTGATGCTCCCGTGATTCACAGAGGGCCAGGGGAAACTTCCAGTCAGATTCCTCGGGATCGTGTAACCGAGCCTTCTGCGACCCCGATGACGGTGGCTAGGTCCCCTGCTGTCATCGTCGATCTCGAGAGCGAGCCCGCGCAACCTCAAGCTCGAGGCTCGGAGGGAGAAGAGGTCTGCACTCTCCTTCCCGAGGTCGTGGAAAGATATCGAGGTGTGGACCTCGAGGTTGGTGTAAGGGCGATGCAGTCCTTGGCCCTTAAGGTAAGCCCCGGGTTTTACTGCTTTTTACAGTAAGGCCATGTTAGATGTCACTGAAGTATGATCGCGTTGTGCAGGTACTCAGCGTTGCTCGAGGAATGTCATTGAAGGGCAAGGCTGACTCTAACGAACTGGTCGGGCTGAAAGAGGCCGTTGAGCTCCGAACCCGACGTGTCGCAGAACTCGAGGCCAGCCTTCGCCAATCCAAAGATGAGGTCGGGGTCGCCAAGGACGAAGCTGAAGATGCTAAGCTCGAGCTCGAGCAAAAGACTAAAGAGTTTGAGTCCAAGGTTGCTGCAGCTCGAGTTGAGGCGATCGAGGACTTTTAGAGGTCCGATGAATTTGCCGTGATCAAAGAGGATTATGCCTTGGGCTCCTATAACTTCACCTTCAAACAAGCTCGAGCATTTTTGAGGGCCAAACTCCCCTACGTTATTCCCGAACAGCTGCAGGGAGTTCCTGAGATCACCGATATCCTCGAGCTATCTGCTTCTGAGGAAACCATTGTCGAGGAGGATGTAGACGTCGAGGGAGACGATGCTGTCGATATGCCCGACGATGACCAGTGATTGGATATTGCCCTTTTTGTCTTGTTTTTGGTTCTGAACATTTTATGTATATCCCCCGACCTTGTTATAACGAATGTTTCTGTTTTTGGAGCGCAATGCTCGATCAAATCTAATATTGCACAGTTATTTTGATGCTATAGATGTTTGGTGTTCGTCGAATGCATTTTATGATCGATTAGAAACTCGAGGACTTTATTTGAAATGTTAACTAAGTAGA